TTGCATGGCAATACAGACAGGATTGGCAGGATCTGCACAAAATTGCGCTACTGCTCGAGTATTTATCTTGTTACAACAAAACAGTTTCGCAAATAAATTGAACTCTGTCATTCTGGAGACGCACCAGAGCCATAAAGTTCTAACTAAATCTGCAAACACCCCGTATATCACAAACCGAAGCATCATGGTGAGATTCGATATTTAATGCACTATCACTGTGTGACTACTTTCTACTTCATACCCATAGGGTGCTGTCGAGCTCGCGAAATGTTCTTAAATTTATGGGCCTAATAAAAAGTTTTCTTTTATAAAATACTGCATCTTCTCGAAACGATTCTGGAGAAATATGAAGAACGAGCTGAGACATTTTAAGTTTTTACAAAATCCAAAGAGCAACCAACCATGATGGTATTGAGATGCTGTGTCACAAACGCAAGAGAGATGACAGCTGTTCACTTAAATACAGAATTAGGCCGCGCCATAGCTCAAGCGGTTAGTCGCTGGCTTCCCACCGCAGCGGCCCGGGTTCCATCCCGGGTCTGGTGAAGTGGGATTTGTGGTAGACAAAGTGGCGCTGGGGCAGGCTTTCCCTGAGTACTTCGGTTTCCCCTGTCAATCTTCACTGCACCAACTGCTCCACAATCACCCTCACCTAACATCTGGGGCTGGTACAATAGGCCAGAAGTGGCCGCAGTAAAAGGGACTTAGTCCCACCCCACTAGCAATAAAAAAATAATAATAAATACAGAATACGACCGCAAGTGTGCGAACAATGCAATACTGTAGAGGACTGTACAACTCATCACACAACCCCAACATCATTGCCACATAAGGCTGGGGCGACACGAGCGCACAAAATGCGTCCGTTGTAACGAACGTACTTTATGACGGACGTTACTGAGGACACCACACAGTTGCAGAAAGCGGTGCGTAGTTTTTTGTCTGCAATGGAGCCAGAAGAAAGCGTAGCATTTGCCTCTCTTGTTTATTTCTACAACGGACGTCACGACGTTCGTTACAACGATCGCATTTTGTGCGCTCGTGTGCCCCAGCCTAATGGTGCAGATGAGATGGCGCCAATCTGTGCACAATATGTGAATTTAACATGAACAAGAGACAGAACTTTTCAATTAGCAATCAGTGTATAATATTTTCTAAAATCAAAGTTAACAAGCAAGATAACTATTTTTTTCCAAGATTTAACGAACTCCACTGATCAGAGTTGAGAATTCAGTAGTCGCTCAGCTGGTCAAAAACGTTCCAGCCTTTTATGGAACTAGAATATTCATTATAAGAGCCCACCATCTGGCTATATCCTGAGCCACGTGAAACAGGAGCAGAATATAAACTATGATAATTTAAAATACTTCGGATGGTTTAATACTCGCAAAAGGAAACCGAACTATCTCTGGCAATAAAACGATTTCACTGCCAATCCCATTAAAGAGTCACGTTTCCGAGTAGAATGAAAAGTGAAACCGAATACAAGCATGTAATAAAATTCCAGCTAAAATCAAAGCCGACATGCCAAGCATTTCAAATCTCTGTCCTATGCGATTAGCAAACCGGAAGCTGGGAAAACACATATTCGGATTTATCAGTAAAGAAGACACATTATCACACATATTTCCGGTTACGGACGAATGCCACATTCAACTTGCAGATGTACGTAATGAAAATGCTTAAATATTGCACATAACTTTTAAACTACCGTTCAGTATGATTGATAAAAGTTGTGTTTTTAATTTTTCATCCATTACATGTTTCGGTCAAAACAATCATCTTCAGAAGGATATTATCAACACATATTGAAACTACTATTACCATGTCACAGATATAAATGTTATAGCTTTTAACTAATACTAAGGTGTATACTGATTTGTTAAAATGTCTAAAAATTGTTATAACTAGTCTACTTATAAAATAATGCTTAGTATTTGTTCTAATGTACGTTAGAACCAATTCGATTCGTGTCGTTACAAGTCTTCTCCTTAATGGAAGATGAATATATTGCACAGCGTGGTTCTGTTGTCCGATAATGAAGGCTCTTTTGTATCGTGGCTATGCTGCGGCATGTGATAGTAGTCTCCATGTGTGTTGATAATATCCTTCTGAAGATGGTCGTTTTGGCGGAAATATGTACTTACTTATGTAGCTGCAGGCCGCGCCATAGCTCAAGTGGTTACTCGCTGGCTTCCCATCGTTGCGGCCCGGGGATTTGTGGTGGACAAACTGGCGCTGGGGCAGGTTTTCTCCGAGTACTTCGGTTTCCCCTGCCAATCTTCATTCCACCAAGTGCTCCACAATCACCCACACCTATCATCTGGGGCTGGTACAATAGGCCAGAAGTGGCCGCAGTGCAGGGGACTTAGACCCACCCCAGTAGCAATAAAAAATAATCCTTATGTAACTGAGCCCTTCTTGAGGAGAAGCGAAATCTTACTCAAGAATATTCAGCATCTTAAGGAACCTGAAGGTTCATTACCGTGTTCACAAGAGCCCTCCACTGGTCCCTATCCTGAGCCAGATTAATCCAATCCATACCATCCCATCCTACCTCTCTAATATTCATTTTAACATTGTCCACCCACTTACGCCTTGGTCTTCCCAGTGGTCTCTTTCCTATCAATATCCTATATGCATTCCTCTTCTTCCCCATTCGTGCTACATGCCCTGTCCATCTCATTCTCCTTGACCTGATCATTCTAATTATACTTGGAGAAGAGTACAAGTTATGAAGCACTTCAAGCGGCCTCCGTAGTCTAGAGGTAACGTCCCCACCTCATGACTCGTGGTACGCGGGTTCAAATACCCGGCGGAGGTCGTCGAATTTTTAAGGGCGGAAAAATTCAGGGAACAAGTCCTCCGGGAGGGACTTTAAGCTGTGTGTCCCGTGTCGTAACTTTACGGCACGTAAAAGAACCTCATATCCCCAAAGGGGATCACTGAGCCAAATTCCAGGACGTTTCCCGCCCAACAACAGTCTCTAAGGCCTCTGATAGATGGGGGAAGCATTATAGACACCGCTAAGCAAGTGGCCGAACTCGCTTGCTCGGCGGGACTGATGGTACGCACCATTTATCAGTTGGGTAAAGAGACTGGTAGAATATCATAGAGGGAAGCACAATAGATCAAACTGGTCGCGGTGCATGGGGAAACCCACCCTCTCTAAATAACTAACTAACTATGAAGCACTTCACTATGCAGTTTTCTCCAACCTCCTGTCACTTCATCCCTATTCGGTCCAAATATTCCCATCACCCTGGACCGAAATATGTAAAGGATGAAAAATTTAAAACACAACTTTTATCAATCACGCTGGATGGTGGTTAAAAATGTTATATACAGTCACTAGTGTGACGGACCAGCATGAACCAAATTATGCTTAAACCTTCCTTTGGGACTGTAGCTCTATGAGCAAAATGAAGTCTGAACGTTTCAAAGCTGATGCGACCATCACATTTCAGGGACCACAGAATAAAAACAAAACTAAGACTGTTCTTTTGTAGGATATGACGGCCCTTGGAGTATGACAGGTGTGTACCAACATTTCCGGGAAGGTGCTTCTTCCATCTTCAGGGTACAAGATTACACTTCTACCCCGATGATGGAGGCACCACATACCTCCAAAACCTCTACCACTACACAGCGCCACACCACAGAATGCGGTAATCGTCATGGTAACGACCGTGAGACCCACAAATCATACATGCAAGTAAGACGCTTAAGAAACTGATTATGCTGGTGGAGCTGGCCGGAGTCGCCGAATACCGACTCTATAACAGGCGGAGCGTGCTCCCAAAATCCTTCACAGTAGATTACAGCAAATAAATAACACCGAGAAACACTGCTGGAATTAACGTTTGTGAAGTCCCACCATTCAAAAGACCAAGCTGTTGGGGCAGTATGTGGGACAGTTTGAGGACCCATATCGGGATTCGCCTGAATGCTCGCTGTATTTGGTGGGGCCCTTGTGCTTACGAGTAGCTGTTTATAAGAAGCTGACTCACTGCAATTTCTGCATGCAATATGCAAAGTCTTTAAATCTCCGGAGAGCACGCCTACACACTTCGTCAGAATGCAATCTTTGCACTGCCCGTTTTCTTACAACCTTGCTTATACAACTAATGTTGGAACAAGTGAAGGGAAGATACCAAGGTGTGGACTGAAGGCCAATATTAAAAATTGATCTTAAGGAATGGGATGCGACACAGGAAAGCGTCCTGTGGCAGGCTCTTGTGAAAACGGTGTTTGCCGCTTTATAGAAGGTGCAGCATTTCTTGACCACATGAATGACTATTACAGCTTCTCAAGAAAGCCTGTGGTAAATGCAAATACGTAGAAAAGTGGGACGAGTTTGAGTCCGAACATGAAATCACACTTTTATATACACAATACGCATCGTCGCACAAAAGTATGATTCAGACCCAACATGATCATTTTCAGTAGACACATATTACAGCATTTTACTGTTGAGATATATAAGCATAATTTTGCCCGTGACTCTGTATGGGCGTGAAACTTTACCTCTCACATTAAGGGACGAAAAGGGTGATGAGGTGAATATTGGAACCAAGAGGGATGAAATAATAAGAGGTCACATAAAACTTCATAATGAGGGTCATAACTTGTATTCTTCTCCGAATATAATTAGAATGATCTAGTCAAGCAGGATGAGATATGGGGGACATCCAGCGCTCATGAGTGAAGGGCCTTGGTGTGAAAGCCATAAGGAAAGAGACCACTAGGAACATGTCGGTCCGAGGATAACACTATAAAGGCCCTTAGAAAAACAGGATGTGGCTGAATCGACTGGATTTATCTGGCTCAGCACAGGAACTCGTCGCGGGCTCTTGTGAATACGGTAATAAACCTTTGGGTTCCATATAACGTTAGAAAATTCCTGAGTACCTGAGCGACTGGTAGAATCTGCAGAAGGACTCAGCTCCGTGAAGGGCAAAGGGCCAAAAGCGGATATTTTAATGCCTGCTGGCTCGTACCTTGTGTTGCTTTGGTTTCTTGAGCAGGTTCGATTTCCCGTTAATGAGGACATTATCTCCTTCGAACAGCACATTACATGGGGATGGAGGACCTCCGAGTCCAACGGCGCAATCCTCAGTGTCGATATCAGTAGAGGATTCGTCCGACGTTCCATCCAAGTTGATTTTTCTATAATCACTAGCCTGGAAAAAACAAAGGTATAACATTTTTATTTCACAAAGGCCACAGGAAAGTTACAATTTTCGTGCTAGGGCTTTCTCTGTTCCATCGGCGCTGAAATAAGTTTTAAGTAAACATGTGGCGACAATTGGATGAAAATACATTTCATCGAAATGCAAATAACATTTTCCAAGATCTATTATAACCACAAAGTAAATAAATTTTATGACATGCATTATGAACGGTTTGAGCATGGTATTTGTATTTTTGCTGTACTGCAGCACTGCGCTTACAACATGGAAGTACAGAAATCAAGGTCCAGTTATTACTAATCTTGTTCAAGTTCTAGCTGCACTTACTTCAAGGCAACTTACACTGTTACTCTTGTAGATTTCGTTAATTTATCGCTGTAGCGTGACATTCTCCATACATAAGAAGGCGGCAAACCTCCTCATTACTATGGGCACGTATAGCATAAAATTAGACGGAAAGGTCAACAGTAGTTAAACTTTCTAGGTCATAAGCAGTAGCTTGCGCATCGACCACTGTCAAGTTAACGATGATAAAATCTTAAGTGAAATACCAGACACGTCTTAATATTGACGTAGTTTAGAGTGAAGATGACAATTTCTTGAAGATAGGGACTAAAACGGAATCACAAGAAATTATAACGATGATGACCACAAGGAAGCTGAGGTTATTAGGGCTACTACAACAGAATATAAGCCTACAGCGGGACACTACTCGTACACGGTATATCTTTTTTAACAGTTCTGGGATATAACGTCGTGCAGTCAGGTGAATGTCAACTGACGTTTCGTAGGAACATGTAGCCTCCATCTTCAGGGTAGAAGTAGCCAGAGTGAAAGCAAGTGAAAAGCTGAACTCTGCTTGTCACCTGCTCTCACGCGTTCCTCCGAAACGTCAGTTGACTTTAAACGGTCTACACGGCGTAACATCCCAGAAGATATAACCACCGCCATGAGAACCTCAAATCCGGTACATAATTTTCCTTTTCATTGGTCATTTAACGACACTTTAAATGTCGAGACTATATGGTGTTGGAATAAAACTTTTAATGTTTACATACTTCAGCATTCCTCGAATTTACTGTTACAGAACCGGTGACATGGAAATGACGAAACATAGTCGCAGATTATGTAATTAATGGCTGTTCCACCGTTGCATTCCTTGTTACGTTGCAAGACAAACATTACATTACGCCTTAATTTTGTTACAATTATAAACAGGCTGAAATCTTAGGGCATGAGGAATTACTTAATCCTGTTGACAGTAAAGCTTTCTGGCACATACTATACCATGTCTGAGCTAGTGTTACGTCATGTGGACTTTGACTTCCCATTCTGAGGGAGAAACAGAGAATTGGGTGCTAAGAAGAATACACGACCAAAATGATGGAAATGTGTAGGAGGCGGGAGTAAATTCAACAGCGAGGAGCTTCAAAATTTCAACTTTTCACCAAATATTATTAGGGTGATAGAACAAGGATAATTAGATGACACGCTACATGAAGCATCTATGAGATGTGAAATGCACACACAATTTTATCCGGCAAACCAGTGGGAAAGAGATTCCTTAACATCTAAACATAGATGGGAAGATAATAATAAAACAGATTTTAAAGTAACAGGGTATGAACATAAACAGCATGGTCAACGGAGTCAGGATAAGTTCAGTGATTGGGCCTTGTGGGCACGGCAAAGAACCTTCGGTTTCATGAAAAGTGAACTTTTTTTTGACCAGTTTAGCAATTATCGGCATCTGAAGAATAATTTTGCTTCATAGTCAGCATGATGTAGTAACATAAGGTCGGATATAATTAATAAAGTACTCCTGAAAGCTACGAACACGCGATTACTGAAGACTCATAAGGAACAAAAAATATAACAAAAAATAATACGGACATCTCACCTTGCTCCGATTTCAACTGCATTACACCAGACCGCTACAAATTCACCACACGCAAAAGTAGTTGCTATGTCAACTGAATAAGGAATGTCTGAACTGTTTCAATGCAGTCTCTTTCACAATAAGCAAGCGAACTTCAAACAACCGGAGAAATGTTTCACAAAACCTCATTTGTTTTCGTATCAGTCACACAAGTAACTGGCACATGTAGTCCGGATTGGAGACAGATACTATTCTCCAACGAAGTGAAGGTGAGGTAATGAAACAAGGCCCGTCCCAGTGTCCATGCTGAAAACATTTTCCGGAACCTTTTTTTTTTAATTCGCTAGTGGGGTGTGGAGTCCAGCTGGGTCCACTCGGCACGGCGGCCACTGATTGGCCTATTGTGCCTAACCCGGGTGATTATGATGATGGAGAATTTGGTGGAATGAAGATTTGCAGGGGAAACCGAAGTACTCGGAGAAAACCCGTCCCATGCCACTATGTCCACCAGAAATCCCACTTGATCAGACCCGGGATCGAACTTGGGCCCCCGCGTGGGAAGTCAGCGACTAACCGCTTGAGTTATGGCGCAGCCATTTCCGGAACCCTTACAGGTGCCCTTGGTACACTGAAGTTTTGTGTGTCCTCAAATGAATAGCAAAATGGTAAAGGTCAACCAGTTCTACCTGTTGCCTCGACTTCTCTTCTTTAGAGGATTTTATCTCCAATGTTAACGGACATTATATGGAACAGCACGATTCTGGGTTGACTTTAGCACGCTCTATCACTTCTTAGCACAAAGTGTGCTATTTTTCTCTAAGTTGGCTATATAATGGTGACGTCAGCATCGGGGCTATACAGAGTCGATGCATAAAAATAAATACATAATTGGTAGTTATATCTGCCTACGCGTTTCATCTCCGAAATTACTGAACGAAGTTTGATTAAATTTGGAACAGAGAACTCTATAATGAATTGTAATTTATTTGTATTAGACGATTATAATCCCTATTTTATATGAAGACCGGATCGAATTTCTACATATTATCTTAAAAGTGGCATATGGTAAAAAAAACACATTACCGTGACTAACATGGTATAGGACAACATCTGGCTTGCAGAACTGCTTGCAGTCTCCACGGAATGGATAACTAGAGGTCCTGTATGATTTGCAAGGGAATCTTGTACCATTCTTCATGCAAAACATTGGGAAGTTCTGTTAACGATGATGGAGGTGGATAGCGCGCACGCAGATTGCTCTCCAAAACAGACCACAAAGGCTTAATAATATTGATATCTGGCGATTGTGGGGGCCGTGGCAGACGTGACACTTCATCTTCGTTCTCAGAAAACCAGTCTTGGACCATGTGTGAGCTGTGTGAATACGGGCATTGCCGTCTTGGTAAACGGCATCACCATTGGGGAACAAAGTTTGCACCATGGGATGGACATGGACCTGGTCGCCCAAAAGGGTCACATAGTCGTTGGCAGTGACGTGACCTTGCAGGGTAATGATGGGTCCGACAGAATACCACGATATGGCTGCCCATACCATGATCGAACCCGCGCCATGTTTCACTCTTGGCAGCAAACAATCTGGATCGTAAGCTTGGGATGGCGTTCTCCAGACGTAAATTCGGCCAAAAGTCGGAAACAGTGTGAAGGTGGACTCTCCAGACCAAATGACCATCTTCCATTGCTCTCCTCTTAGTGGCATTTTGATCACTGATGAGTGGCTTTGGAATTGCAGCTCGTCCAGAAATACCCTACTTGTGGAGTTCCCTTCGTATTGTTTTGGTGCTGAGAGGGTTTGTGAGCGTGACATTCAGTTCAGCAGTCACTTTTGCAGCTGTAGTCTTCTTATTTTTCGTCACAACCCTACGCAATGTTCGTCTGTCTCGATCACTCAACACACATTTCCGTCCGCGCTGGTGTTTATCGGATGTGATTTTTCCAGTCCTCCTATATGTGGTTATAATCTTGGATACTGTGCCTCGTGAAACACCGAAAACCTCGGCTACTTTGGTTACGGAAGCACCCACCATACGGGCCCCAACAATTTTCCCGCGTTCGAATTCTGTTAGCTCTGACATGATGCACTAAAAACTGCACAGAACACTGTCTCAAAAACAAATGAAGCTTGCAACGTATTGCGGAGGTTGTACAGGGCAGATACGACAGCGTCACCTACAAACGTCGCTAAAATAAACACTTCAATTCCGGCATGCATTTCACGAGGTGTTTCCATATTTTTGTCCATCCCTTGTACAACATATAGTTCAAAATATAATATATCTCTGAAACATTTTCTGCTACTGTAGGAAATTAACGAAGCAAACGCAAGATAACACATTCCTCTACTACATACTCAGTTTCTCTCTGTTGCAGTATTTTATGAATTTTAACTCTTATCTTTGCAATAAAAATTCGGGACAAGATAGGCAACAGCGATTGAATGTATCTCTAACAAATGAAAGTAGCGAAGTACGTATTTGTAACAAGGCTGGAAACGTAATAACCTTAATGGCAGTCATTTTTGCAGGTGATCACGCGCAGTCTGCTAAAGTTTGATTAACGGTTTGTGAGAAATATGAGAAGTCCATTTATTGGTGTAAATACAATTGATTTCTTGCTCGTTGTGGTGCGCCTCTGAAGATGATTCTTTTGAATCGAAACATGTAGGGCGAATGGGGACTGAAGTGTTGTAGACCTGTGGGTCATACTGGACTGAAAGTTATCTACTTTACAATTGATTTCATTATGGGTCCATACGTATGTGGGTCAAAACAGGAAATGCCCAACGTTTGGTCACTCTCCTATACACGAATTTAAAAAATTATCCTTCCCCAACAGTTTACGCACTGATAATATATCCCAGGCATACCAAAGAAGTCCAATATTAAAGTGTATCGAAATCAGTCCCAACTACTCTCGAGTTACGAGCGACACAGGAAAAAGTCTGCTTAATTAAAGAGAAATCTCTTAAGATTTACATGAATAGTCTATTGGGCATAAAAATACATTTCATCTTTCTACACGGCTTTATTTTCGTTCACTCCGATAAATACCTAAGAGTGTTATGCGCTAGTTCCACTCGAGATGGCTGCATGGA